TATTTTCATCGAGCCCCTGCTATCCTCTGATCTATCCCTATCTTGGAAATCTTATTTTTTTTTTCTTTATTTTAATTTTGAAAGGATATATTTAAGTTTTTGAGGAGCAGTGTGCGAATTCGTATTTGGATTGAAAAGTTAAGCGGTTTAATTTTCTAATTTAAACATCGAGAAGTTTCTTTGAATCCTTTCTTTCTATTTCTTACGAAGAAGAATGTTAAATGAAATTATTCGTTAGATTTATTTATATTCGCAAGAAATAGCAGTGAATAATATTTATGAAAATTAATTTATGAATGTAAATAATGAAAGAGATTTAGTGAATATTTTTTATACATATTTTTCATATTCTACATCCCTAAATTTCCCTAAAATATAAAAAAAAAACATGTCTAGTAAAAAGTAGAATTGTTATTTCAATTATAAATAAATATAAAATATTTATATTCGGTATTATCAATATATCATCTCGCAAATCTCGAAATTTAATCCTCATACATATGCAAAGTGAAATGAAATCTTGGAACGATCAAATTACAAATACGATTTCTAAATTTATATGCTTGTTTAATTGACTCCATTGAATAAGTACTTAATGAACAAGATATTAATCGAGTAATCGTCATCGCTTTGCTTCGTATAGGATTAAATTATTCCAAGGAAATTCTGTTTGGCGTAACGAATTTATTAAATAACTGCTCGATAGAATGAAAAGTGGGGCAATAATTCTTTCAGACGAAAACTTCGTTTTCCTCGTCGGCAGTGAAACTGCTCGGTAAAGAAAAAAAAAAAAAAAAAAAAAGAGTTTTATAACTTTCGCCTCTTCCTCACCCCCGGAATGAAAACAACCTAGGCCTTTATGATAATTCATACTCACGGAAATTAGTCTAATTTTGAAACACTTGACGCAACTTGACCCAGATTTTTCAAGCAATAAAATCATCGCGAATGGAACGTTTGTACGTTCAGAAATGCGTAAACGAATAATTCGAATCAAACTTCTGCTAAACAATTCGGGCAATTTTCTTTTTTCCATTTTAAATTAGACATACGATAGATACGAATAAAACGATACATTTAAAAATCATGATATTCATGTATTACGATTCATCCTTCGATTAATTCGTCCTAAAATTTATATTCTCTTGCACGTACTTTCGATATTTAGGTCACCGATATTAGCTTTAATAACGCTAATGAATATTTCTTCGACTTCTACACGATCTTCCCCTCGCGAAATGAGGAAAAGAGATCTCAAGATTTTCTTTTGATCAAAAAGAAAAAAATCAAAACGTTCTCTTTTTATTCTCTTTATTATTTCCAGCGAAGATCGATGCGAATTCTTAAAGTCTCTCGCGTTTGTTTCGCGCCATCGTTCAAATATTTCAATAGAAATTGCACTTAAACTTATCGTTTTTAAATTTAAACGCCCGAGAAAAAAAAACGAACGATTATGTGACAAAACGGATTAAACGTCGTCCTATCAAGTTTATACAAAGTTAATAAAGCTTATCCGTGAAAATACGTAGCGGTTGGTTCAATTATCCAATTCGCGCGAAATAAACTAAAGGGAACGTCCGCCACCGGTGAAATAACTAATTGGTTTAATTAATTATTCGTGAAATGCATTTAAAGCTTCGCTTTTGTACACCCCTCTCCCTCCCTCCAAAAATAAATTTATTTACACGTTTCCTTTCCCTTCGTTTCCATGCTTGTCATACAATCGCAAAATTATTTAATTCGAAATTAATATCGATTCGAGGTCTTACGATTTTCGAAATATTCCAAGAGATAAATAGTATTTTCAGTTCGGTCGAGATTTCACGTTTCAAACGAATTCACAGACGGATGATGTTGCGAATATTCGGAAAAATTTTGCATCACGTCGAAAACAAATAGTCGGGAGGTAAAAAAAAAAAAAAGGAAGAGCAGGGGGAGCGATGGAAGAAATGGAGAAAAATCGCTGAGGATGCGAGACTCGCGTTACGTTTTTATTGGATTTTCTTCCTATGTTTTGTGTAGTGTACATCATATTGATTTATCGAACCACAGATTCGACGTTGCAATGTGTAAAGTCACCAAAAGTCCCAGATAAAAAACAGAAAATTTCACCGGTTCTGTTAAACCCGCCGTGTTTGACTTCGCCGGGTTTAATCGAAACTCAAACGGACTGCGGGGAAATAATCCAAATTAATTACGAATCATTGATCGCCCTTTGTAATTTATGCCGACAAGCATAGAGACGCTGTTGATCGCAAACGGTTAACAACAGGACGCGGTTATTTACACTCGCATTATTTGTACTTTGAATTAATACTGTTCACTACGCTATCCAAACCTACTATCCCCTAAACAGAGATAAAATTCACCCCCCATATTTTCTATCCTTATAAATTGTATCTTAATTACAATCTAAAGGAGTCTATTGTCATCGATCCAACGATTGTTCTTGTATTTTTATACTAAATACTTTCCTGTTCTCAAATGAAAAGAATTTGAAATCAAAAGAGTTAAAAATAAATAGATACGTATTGGATAAAGAGGAAAATGTTTGGAAAAATAAAAAAATCGTTTATAAAACTTCCATTAAGAGATAAAATTCTTCCTAGTTTTTTAAGATTCCTTAATCGTCCCTTCCCCTCCCCCTCTGGATTAAAAGGAAAAGGAAGTTTCTATTCTCGTGAAAACACGATTTCTAGTTGAAAGATGGGATGAAAGCTTTCGTTTCGAAACGGGGAAGGAGGGAATCGAATGTTGGAGTGTTTCCTCGGTCATCCTTCTCATACATAAGCCGTTTCTTCTTGGTGTAGTGTTGCACGAAAAGGCATTACACGACACGTCGAACCGCAAAACGCGACCGCTGGCCGATTTCAACCACAGCCCACGAAACTAGCACGATACTACAGACTAGAGATTTCCAAGTGGTGGAACACTTGTGAAAATATTTCCCTTTCATACAAGGGTAGACATTTTCGTTTGTCGTAAATATAAATTCGTTCTCACGTCTGAACGATTTGCACGAAGAAACCTTCGAAATACAGATGTATCCACGTATTTCCATCCACGATTTTTCTTTCATATTCCGCATATTACAACGCAAACACGGGTGTGTTTGACTTGTTGATAAATACAAATATATAGGAGTATATTATAATATATATTAATATATTAATTTAACAGAGAATTGAATTTTATATTTAAACAAGTTTTGTATCTTTTATCTTTTCAATCTTATGTATACTCGACAAGTAACAGGAACTAATTCAATTTCAAAAATCAAAATATAAAATTTTAGATTTTTACGAAAAAAAATAATTCTACGTAGAGTTAAAAAGATTCGATATATTTGTCGAAAAAATTTTAAATTGCAAAAAAGTGCTTACGAAAATGAAGAGAATCATAACTATGTTTCATAAATTTGATAAAAAATTTAAATAGACGCTACGTATTTAAGTTTAAATCACGAATTTTACTTGTGAATACAATTATCTGTGTAAAAGTTCTCTTCCCATAGAATAATTATATTCACTCTCGCTAATGTGGGACAATATATTAGTCACATTATATCCTGTACATTAATTATTGTCATGTACAAAATGCATTGCATGTAAGTCTCCTAGAACTTTCCTAACCTAATCCTCGGTATCTTCATGAAACTTTAAACAGCCATATGTCCGAGTATGAAACGTACTTGTGTCTCGCCAGGATATATTTACAATGTAAACCGATTTATAAATCTGAAAATTCAAATTCACCATGGAAGTGAATTTCTACTTCTCTCCGATGAAATTCTATTCAATACACGGATTGCATTTCGAAACTTTATATCGGAGGAAATATGTTTCTTGTGAAAATTTTCAACAGGAATTTTTATACGGAAATGTTTAAAATTTTTAATTCCTTTATAATCCTAATAACTTTATAAAAAAAAATGTTCATTACTTTAATTTTCTATCTATTTTTATCAATGAGAAACTTTGTTAAATTATATAATAATAGTTAGAAGAATTTGCTTGGCTTAAGAGCCTTTTCAACGTAGAAGATATAGAAAATTAAATGTCCTTAAGAGAATAACAGTAACGATCCTCCTCAACGTCAACAAACATGCTTTTGACAAGAAACTAAAGGAAATTCATTGTTAGTTTCCAAGAAATATATGGTTATAACAGGAACAAAGTTTCACAAAGTTATTATAAGTATCTAGTGAAACTCAGTTCACGCAGTATTTCTAAATCAATGGAGTATATACACATATGATGCTCATAAAAATATAATATCATCATTGGAAACGATACCATAATTCTATTTTCGAATTGATGTACCGAATTTTATCGCGAAGTTTCCTAACCTTTATATTTATCTTTTCGATAAATGATTCCGAAACAGATCAATAACGCACGATTATTATTAATTTATATAAAAATTATTGATAATAATTTCATTTTTATTATTTTAAAATATCTAAAATAAAATTTCATGGAAAATTTGGAAAACAACAATTACTAAACAATACTAACCTAATACAAGTTAAAGATTAATTGATTATATTTTATCCAACAATATTCAATAATAAGTAAAATGATATTTTGTTTATAAAATTATAATAGTAAAATATTTACATCATAAACTATTAACATGCCGAAAAGTGAATTAGAAACTAGGCAAGACATGGTGAAGTTCCTGGGGCAAAATGCTGGAAACTTTGGAACAAAGATGCAGTTTCAGTCAGTTCAAAGTGCATCCCAAGTAACTAACGAAAAGCCCGCAGAAATTTCGATTCATTACTTATACAAAACTACTTGCCCATCTTCTAACCAAAAAACTTTCTTTCTACGTAAAATTAACACCGCCATCTTTGTTTTCTCCTACCTTCTATCCTTTCTCCATTCTCAATTCTACTCTGATATTATCTCAATTCTATATCGATATATTACTGTTTGTCTACATAATTATACGAAATAACAAATGCGAAATAATGAAAATAATGAAAATGTACTCACATTATGCTGCTCCGATATATTTAACTGCTTCGATGTATATTACATAGCTTCACTTCGTTGTTACGAATATGACGCATCCGAAATATTTTCTTAAAATACTACGAAAAAAGGATTGTTAAACAAAAAACACACATAACATGAATATAACAGAACAAAATGCTCTTTGACTACACAAAACACACTAATAATTTCTGGTTAGATGCAATAAAAATTCTTTTCTTTGCGGACAAACAAAAATGTAATGCGTCACTGTAAAATTTTTACTGTCACTAATTCGCGCGAACTTCTGATTCTACAGTGGCGCTGCGATATAAGCGCCTCTATCGGTTTAAATTGAAAACACTAGATATCGATAAATTTTTCCATATCGAGCAATTGATTGATGGCGGCAAAAACAAAATATACAAATAGCTGATCTCGATACTCTTCAAATAAAAGCTTTTCATTTTGTAAAAGCGACGAATTGAAATTGTGTATAAAGGCTTTGTAATATATAAAAGAAGTAATATCATAATCATCATAATCATAAACAATTCATGCAGTAAATATTTTACAATTGCAAAATAATTATGAAGCTTCATATATAAAATGCAATAAAATTTTAATACAGTATTGAGAACAAAGAAAATGAATCTATATCGCATATTAATTAATTTTCATATACAATTCTTCCTTTACAATTAAATAATTTATAATTGAAATTTCATTCTTACTTGTGATATTATTTTAAATATTTAATAAAACCATATCCATGATAAGGAAATTATGAATTTTAAAAGAACAAAATGTTTATATCTATCTAATATTTAACGATATCGAAAGCAAATATTGTATTTATTTTTTTTACATCCCTAACAGTCTATGAAAAAAATAATATAGATGCAAATATCTTTTTAAAAGAACATTTAAATTCAATAACAAATAAACATTCAAACGTTTAATTATAAAATAATTTAACATCGGATCGAAATGGATCAAGTTGTTCCTATCAATTTGAACTTGTATACGATGTCAATAATTTTAACATTGTATCGAACGGTTTGATTCGAACTAAATAAATTTATTTCAAAGATTCTTGCGGCAAATGACGAGCCAATGGCCGATCATATTGCTTCACTGCGATACACCAGTGTGGTCTGCCATCGTGTATAGGCATATAGCCTGAAGCATGCTAGCTATTGGCATCTGTGGGAGACAAAGAGCTTTGATTCTAGTCGGGTATTGGACTATTGGATTCTCTTCTCTCACTTCCTCGTTCTCCCACTTTTCTCTCTCTTTCTCTCCATTCTTCTTTCTCTTTCTCCTCTCTTTCTATACTACCATTACTTTCCCCTTTCACCCCTTCTTCGCTCACTTTCTTTTTTCTGCATCTCTCACTCACTCGAAGCTTCATGGATGCGAAACTTATTAAACCGTCCTCCCCAGATGTCCATCCCCATGTCGGTGAGAATTTCAAAGGCAAGAAAACTGAGGTAATGGCATCACGCACTTACAAGTCTGATGCTCCCTATGAAAACCATGCACGATATTCCGAGTTGCGGCTGCTGAAAAACGAATCACCATTCGATGGAATAATGAATACCCTTGTCTGACTAGGGATTGATCGAAGTTACTTGTATTCTTCGCCCGCTGGCAAGACAGCAGTTCCATTTTATGTCGGCCTCTGTGTACGTGTTGCGGGAAACATATTTCATTTTCATTTTTTTTCAATGTTCAGAACAGTAGTTCATCGTCCCAACGACATGTGAATATCTCGTGACACTTTTATCGAATTGTGAGAGACATTTCTAATTAAAATAGCGAAACATTTTATAGAATTTATATTAAATCATATTCGTTTGTAATAATACATTTTGAAAATGTATTATTTTGTTAATACCATGTGTAGGTTTTCATGAATATAGGAAATATGTACTGTGTTGAAATTTTACAATTTTTTTTAAATTATTTCTCAAATTGTTTCTCGATTTTACATAGATAAACATAATTAATTTATTATATTATTATTTAATATGTGTAACATTTTATAAAAAAAAATAATATAAAATGAATTATTTCGTGTATGTTTCTTATCACGTTATTATTATTACTTCACTTTATTATTTATATAAAGAGTGATTTTCACGTTTTTATATAATTTCCATAAATTGAGAGCACTAGAAATTCTGTGTCAATCTGTTTTTGACAACATTAATTACATCACCGAGGACAAGAGGATACATCTCCATCCAATAGAGAGAGTTCGATGAACGATGACGCAAATCAGAGTCATATATCATTAAATAATTAAAATAGACGGTAACAATTTTCCAACAAAGGAATAATTGTATGATGGATTTGATCGATCATTGAGTAAATTTCATTTATGATGTTGAACGTACCTTTGTCAAATTTGTCAAAAACGTGATATGTTATAAGACAGATTATTCGCCTCTTTCTATTTAATTATGCAAGATTTACATACATACATATACATATATTCATTTCAACGAATAAAAGTTCACAATTGACAATTAAAAAATAATTACACTTCAAATCAAAATATACTTTGCTAAATAAACTCGATCAAGTATGATGAAATAAAATTCAGTGATAAAAAACACGTAAATCGATAACGTTACTAACTGTAAATTAAATATTGAAATCGTTAATCAAGTTAATATCTATGGTAATCGATATCATTGCACTTTATGAAATTCTATAGTCAAATGGAAATTCAAGAATGAATGAAATGCAATCGTATTTAGCGCATTAATAACTATAAAGAAATAACCTATTTATTAAGTATTCGATTATATTATCGAATATTAGATACAACGGACGTGTCGTTGTATTTTTATCTAAAGTTAAAAATAATAAAAAGCATGACAAACATTCTAGAAAAATAACCTGTAATAACATAATAATAAATAGTCAAGGCGAATTTTGAATCAATCGTGTCCAGGATATTAAAAATCTCCCAAAATAGATCGACATTCAAGCAAAAATATCACAATATTCCTGACGTTCAACCCCACAACGTTTCTTCCTGAATTTCAACGACTTTGTTCCATTTTCTTCGCTGTCAAACTGTCGCCAAACTTCGCGATGAATCCGCGAAGAGAGTCGAATAATACATATAATTGGAAAAATCAAATTATATGGGGGTTAATGGATGAATGATGTCGCAGGAATATCCGATCGTTTACGATATCGATTGCCTTTGTCCATTCTTTTCTCTCTTTCTTCCCCATGCACGTGAACGGAAGCAGTAAGTAACGTGCACCAATGAGAGACGGAAATAATGGGCAGAAGGCAGCTGTTGGCCACGACCCAGTTCGCCTATTTTCCCTGGGATCTTTCCCCCAACCATTTCTTTCTTTCATTTCTCCGTCGTTCCCTCCGTTATTTCCCTTTCTTCGTTCTCCTGCCTCTTTTTTTTTCTGACGTGATCGTTGAGAAGAAAAGATAACGGGCAAGAATCTAAGGATTTTTGAGGATGCTCCTTTAACATAGGGAAGATCTTAAGGGAAATAAACCCTCGAACCAGCTTACAAACATTAAAGGCAATGAAACGGTAAAAAAAAAAGAAAAGAAAACGAAATTGTGATGTGACATCCGAGCGAATCGAATCGAATCGAATGAAATTGAACGAACGAAACGTATCCCAGAATCCCGTTCCCCAGAATTTGTGAATACAAGAGAGTAGTTTCAAGCAGTCCGTGAAATAAAGTTATTTGAATGCAGCACAGCATTGTTCGTAAACCGAATATCCGGCAAACTGATTACGTGCTATAATTTAACCGATTTAACCACGAAAAAAGCTTTCTCCATATCGAGGAATTTTCTTGTGGAGTGTTGGAGGAAACTTTTAGCCAGTCTGTAATGCGATAAAGATGTGAAAGGTGCAGGTAAGCGGTGCTGGTACGAAAATAAAGTTAGAGCAAGGTAGTTTCAGTCTGGCATGCTTCGAATGTCTTTCGAAGAAATATCACGTTATCTTTTACTTATTGTCTAAGATCTTTGACGAAAGTTTCTAATAAAACGTTATTAAATTTAGAAAGGCGAAAGGATGAAATATGAAAAATACGTGGAAGAAAAATTTTTCTTGTATAATATAATTTCTCGGATATTTCTTTAGGATATAAAATTATTTAGGATATCGAGTCGTTTTTAAAAGATAGAAAATTTATAACATTTTACTCGAATGTTTCGATGAAGAGGATGAAAATAAAATGTCATTATGAGGAAATTTTATATTTTATAGATAATGGTGAAATAAAAATGAAAAAGATATAAAGAAGCTCTCATAGAATGGATACGTAAAAATGAGTCTAATATATTTGATAAAATTCTTAAAGAAATACAGATTATTTATGAAATTTTCCCCGTTTATCATTTTGATACTGGAGAAATTATTCGAGACAAGTGTATGTAATTTAAAAGAAGAAATATTTTTTTTTCTTTTCATTATTGTTCGTTTATTTTATTATCTCCTTATATAGAATGATAAAGAGAAATAATAAAGATCTTTGAATATGATAAATATACAATGAATAATAAAGATGTAAACATAATACTTAACAATTGAATATTAATTTATTGCTCGTCAAATTTTTATGAAAAGAAATATAAATTCTTTCTTTCAAATTATAAAATGTCTAAAATTCAAAAGTCCCCCAGCTTTTCGTTCCAATTCAAGATCCCATAACGTTTCAACTATTCGACAAATCAAGGGACTTTTGCTCATTTTACCTCGAAGCGAGTTGGAACAATTTCGAGCTCGGCCGATTCATTTCCAATAATTATCGCGACGGAAAAGAATAAATTCCGATAATATCTGGCTGCAATCGGATCACACCGATTCTCTTCCATCCCTCCCGTGAGGATCCCATTGTAATCTGAGAAATATTAGCGAAACTGTACCATCTTCTCGATCGTTCTCGAAAAAAAAAAAGAAACATTTTGAAATTAAAATTCTCAGCCGTTCTCCAACGTTCATGACCCACAACGATCACGATTCGATAAAAGAAAATGAACGATGTGTATAAAATTTATTTACGCGCTTTGCGTTCTGCGTTACAAATTAACAAAAGATTAAATTCACGGATAGCAGGTGGCGAATTGTGTTCCGCAATTCGACCTGTGATCGCGAACCGTTTTGGTTTCAAACCTGTAATTGCTCACGAAAGGTTTACCCACGTGGCC